ATTAGTTCTCAACAGAACCTCAAGTAAATAATTAATTGCATGGAAAAGAAAAACAATTGGGTGTTTTCCTGTCCAGGTAAAGTAAGCCAATGAAGCAATGTGCTGGGGACACTGCCCATATATAATAACAGTAGTCTAACTGAGATAATTGTTATTTAGAATTCTTGCATTATCTTGTTGTTCTTTGTCAAAGGGACATCAAGTCAGCAGTTAAATCTACAAATGTAATGCTGTAGTTATCTAGAATTGTCAAAGATAATTGTAAGAGATGTGTTTGATCACTTAAGACCCTAACAAAATTCATAATTTTCTATTACTTGGCAGCCCTGCATCAAGTTCCAGCAAGCATAGGCTAATCATTGAAACAGCGAGGATCTTAATAATTTTGTACCCCAAAAAATTTAAATTTATACCTCCAGCATGAATCCACCATCAAACACATCTTTCCCCTTCCCTTCCCTGTCAACTTTCTGAAAGGGCCAAGCCTCTGTGACAAGTTGTGCCACTTCATTATCACCTCCAAAACCTTCTTTCATCTCTCATAGCACCATCCTATGCAGTTGCAGGAAGTGCAACTTATGCCCTTTTACCCCTTTCCTCCTCACTGTCCAAGCCCCCAGACACACTTTCCAGGTAAAGGAGAGGTTTACATGTGCTTCTTTCAATTAAGTCTCTTGTATTCTGATTTCATAATGCAGTTTTCTCTACCTTAGGGAGACCAAATGCAGACTGAGTGCCTGTTGTGTTCAGCCTGCAAGCATGATCCTGACCTCCCACCCACTTGCCATCTCAATACATAATTGTGCTCTCATGCTCACATTTCTATCCTACACCTGCTGAAGTGCCCAACACAAGCTGGAGGAACAGCACCTCATTTTCCTCTTAGGTACTTTAGAGTCTTCGTGATTCAATATGGAGTTCAACAATTTCAGACCATGAACTCTATCTTCCATTTGATATGCGATTTTCTTCTCCCTAAGTGTCTGCATCTTGGTTTCAGGTTTGTGCTTTCAATTAGACCTAACCTGTATTCTGTTATACCAACAGTTACTCTGGATGAATGCTTTGTCTCGTCTCTTTCACCGTTACCACTCTATAGCCTTTTTCTCTACCACACCTGTGAGCTCTAATCTCTATCACTGTCTAACCTTTCCCTAACTTTCAAATTTGTTGGACTTGCTCCTCCCATTTTTTTTTGAAAGCATGAAATTCCACCTCTCTTCAGTTCAGAAGAAGTTATATTAGATTGGAAGCACTAACTTTGTTTCTCTCCTCATATATGCTGTCAGCGTCATTTCCTTTAGGCCATGCATGCATGCAGCCACTCCAAAGTTCTGTGCATAGCAATCGGCCAATCACAGTGCTGACTTCTGGCTCTGGAAGTTGGTGCAGCACATGGACCTTGGAGGTCTGTGCAGAAGAACAAAAAATTCCGGGAAGACATTGGCTTCGTACCTGCTGAATCCTCTTCAGCACTTTCTGTTTTTATTTCAATATATAGAATTGCTAGTGTTGAAATGCTTCCAGATGACTGTAATAATTAGAAGCTGATTTCAGTTACACTGCTCTTACTGTTGTAATACAAAACTAACCATTAAAATAGTTGGAAATAAGACTATTTTTCAAAATTGAATTGATCAATAAATATGTAGGAAACCACTTCAGTCAATTTGTGCACAGCACGCTCTTATAACCAGCAATAATCAGATGATCTATTTCTGTGACATTGGTTGAAGAATAAATATTGGCCTGAGCACCTGTAATAATTCTCTTAGTCTTCTTTAGAATCATTTTATGGGACTTCTCCCATCCAATTAAGAGGTCAGAAAGGTCCCTGGCTTAGTATCACATTTAAAATACAGCACCTCCGAGACTGTGATGGTCCCTAAGTATTGTACTGAAATGTGAGCTTGTATTTTTGTTCTGAAGTCCTGAAGTGGGGCATGAACGCACAACCTTCTGGTTACAGTGTTATGAACTCATGTATGGCTGACCTAATTCAGCAGAGATAATGTGGTGGGTGGCATAGAAGTCACAATCGAGACTTTTAAACAATGCAGCTCCATTGTTTACACTTATAATAGGCGTATACTATCATACCATTAGCCTGACTTCTATGGTGTAAAATTAACACAGTGCACATAGTAGTTAAACTATGAACATTTCCTTATTTTCACTGTGCTTAATTCAAAGAATTACAATAATTGTGTGAGAATGAAAAACAGCGTAAACTTCTAAACCAGGAACCACAAAATAGAATTAGCTAAAAGCTGTGTAATTTTCAAAATGAAGCAGGAGTACAGGTATTTCTCCTCCCACACATTTCGTTAACGCAAATTAGCTGTAATGCATTTGATGGATAGTGGACGCTGTTTAGACAATGCAAACTTTCTGCTGTGAAGGTAGATTGATTTTCTATAGCGATTTCCCTATAACACGATTTTCTACAGCACGATGTCACACAAAAATGCAACTATTGTGCTATTGGAGAAATACCTGTACACTTCAATCATTGTACAATCCCAAAGATATTAAATAGGTCTGAAATTTAAAAAAAAGCACACAAAGCTTTGTCCCTTATAAAATTAGATGATGAACATGACTGATAGAACATTTGTGCTGCTGATGAAGAAAATATGAATATTACCTTACAACAGGCTAATACATAGACTCGTGATCATTATCCCTACACCTTTCAATGGTCTTCAATATCTTTTACATCAGTATGAAAACAATCTGTATTTTGGCAATATTGCAGAAGAGTTTTCTACCAGAGAAACATAGTTCTTGGCAGAGGTTGTCAATCCATGATGTTTTTACATCTTTTCAGTATCTCCCCATTTGTTGCAGTTAATGCACAAGCTTATTCATAGCCACTTTTGTAGCTTACCCTCCTCTCCATTTCCTTTGCTTTTCCCCTTTCTCCCCATCTCTCAAGATGTATTCATATGACAAATGTAGCACCAATGTCAAGCACTGTCACGTTGCATCAACGCTATAGTTGTCATGTGAATGTAAGCTAAATCTAGAGTCAGGGTACAAGCCGTCACAGACACAACTCCATGTTTGCACAAAACACACTTAGGGCCAAATTTTACCTGCATTAGCGAATAGGTTATTGAATAAGTTAAATTCAGTCTTTAGCAATTAGAGGGCTGGAGAACATCTTTACACTAACATTTATGCATGTAATAAGAGCTAAATTTGCCTTTGTAATGAACTTCTCATCTGTGCCTAATGACTGCTGAGGTCACCCAGTACCAGGTCCCAGGAAATATGGCAGCAGATAGAATCCAATTAGGAAAGGGGTTGGGATTATGTCAAGCCTGGATAGTGCTGCCAAGCTAATCAATTTATCTAATTCAATTCTCATAGATACTTGTTTCTAAGCAGAAATCACTTGCTCAATAGAAGGAGTATTCTGGATATAGAGTCAGAGTCATACAGCACAGAAACTGACCCTTTGGTCCAACTTGTCCTTTCCGACCAGACATCCCAATCTGACCTAGTTCCATTTGTCAGCATTTGGCCCATATCCCTGTAAAACCCTTCCTGTTCGTATACCCATCTAGATGCCTTTTAAATGTTGGAATTGTACCAGCCTCCACCACTTCCTCTGGCAACTCATTCCATACACATACCAACTTCTGTGTGAAAAAGTTACCCCTCAGGTCTTTTTTAAATCTTTCCTTCTCACCTTAAATCTAGCCCTCTAGTTTTGGACTACCCCACCCCGGGGAAAAAGGCTTTGGCTATTCACCCTATCCATGCCCCTCATGATTTTATAAATCTCTATATTTTGATCTCCCCCAGCCTGACAGCAGCTAACCCAAAAGAGACCTGAATGGAAGCTGAGAGCTTCCTAGAATGCATGACCCAGAATAAGAAACAGTAATGCATTTATCCACAGAGTTAATGTGGGCAGCATCTCAGTCAGTTTCAGTTAACACCTGCCAGCAAGTGTCACTTGGCAGTAACCATGAATATTGTATACAGATGGTAGTGGTGAACCCAGACGGTCTCTGGGCTATTAAAGTGACTGGTTGGTCTATGAAAAGAAAAGGGGCAAAAAAAGACTTTAAAAAGAAATAATTTATCATTTGTTACAATCAGTAGTTTAGGCATTGATTTTGAACAAAATAGTTTCAGAACCTTGATGCAATTCTGGCCTACAAGCAAGCTAAAAATTTCACTGTTAAGATTACAGCAGTTAGTAAAATGATAATGGTCATGATATCAACTGTTCAGATTTAGTTTTCAACTTAAAGACCGAACAATTAATTACCATGTTGCAACTTAAAACGTCTAAGCTTGATTTGCTGAGGAAGAACATTTTATGTGCAGTTGTTTTCATTTCCAGTGGCCTTGTGACAGTAGCTTAAATTTTTCTGCAGGAGTGTAATTGGAAAATTACATCCAAAATTCATGGGGCTAATTCCCTTCTTTAATTACAAAAATAAAAATTTCATGTCATTTGACCATCATTCAGGCATAACAGCACGTCCACATAACATATAATTGTTAATACTTCTCAATTTCTAATGTGACTCCCACTGATGCTGCAAAAATGCATTGAATGAAATGGAAAATGCAATGGAACTCTCAGGGAGGACCAAGTTTAACCATTTGCTCAAGGAAAAAGCAATAAGACATTAGAACAATTACTTTGTTTCCTGTTCTGTCAGTTTCGCATTATGGCAGGAAGTTCAAGTGTCTAATTGTTTAGCATTAAGACAGCGCCGTTTTAATGAATTACGTCATGTTTGAGCATAGGGACTGATAGATGAATATAAAAGAGGAGGAAATTCAGGTGCAGTGCATTCATGTATGGAACACACTAGTATCTAGGTTTCTCTGATCATTGATGGTAAATATTTATTTCATGTTCCAGTTACCCATGCCACTGCACACAACTACACAAGAAATTCTACTCCAGTGTCCAGATTACTAGGCACCTATCAGGACATAGATTAATTTGTGAAAAAAATTTTGGTACTTACTTTGGATGTGTAAACTGGTCAATAAGGCTGACCTTCTCCACCAGGTCACCACCAATATTTCGCACCAAATCGTAGAAATCATTTTCTTCATATCCTTCTTTTGGAATCCAAAAAGAGATGTCATTTACTAATGGTGGGTATTTGCTGAGGGGCTGAAAAACAAAATTGATTTGAAATTAGTTACGAACAGAAAATGATGGAAAACCTTGACAGACAAATCTGTGGTTGGAGAAACATTGTTCATTTCAGGCCAATTCAATTGAAAGATATTAGAGACTAAGTTGTTTTTAAAGCAAGTATTGAACTAGGGAACAAAAACGGTGGTAGTGGAATGTGGAGCAGTAGGAAGAGGAAAGAACTAAGGAGAAGGTCCACTTCCTTTAACTCTTTCACAGACTTTCCTCTTTGTTTCCCCCACCACCTTGATCCGTAACCCTGTTCCTTTCCTTCGATTTAAGTTTGCACATAAAGCGTTAATCACTCACTTGTTTCCTTTCAGCTCTGATGAAATGTCAAAACTGATCTAAAACCTGGACAACAAAATCTGAACCAGCAAAGACAAAACAGTAGAAATATTTAATTACACTTATTTTTATGGGCATTTGCATTGGAACTTGTAATAATGTAAAGTCCATTTTGCACAGTGCCCTCTGAAAGGGAATTGAGAATTGTTTGAACAGGGAAAGCAATTGTGCATCTTATTAACTAATTAGATTGAAGAACTCTTTAGACAGATACAGCAATATAAATATCAAAATAAAGCTTATTTACCTCATCTTTCAATTTAAAAAATCTTTTAAAACTCCTATAATATTTAAAATGTCAAGGAATTAGACTTGTCACTCTTAAGAGTTAACTTCCAGTGCCAGAATTTTTTTTTGACAGCAATAAAGACTTATTATGCTGATGGGCTCACTTTAATTAATTTCACTGGCCTGTTAAGCTGTTTCTCTCAGAACTGATACTGCTTGTTCTGCTGAATCTTTCCCGCATTTACTGTTCTTATTTCTAATTTCAAGCAACTAGAATACATACATGACATTCTTAAAAATAAGCCACATTTTTAAAATAAATGAGCGATCTTCACTCCCAGTAAATAACAGCTAGGTATGTGATCTTTGTACTTCTTCAAATGTGAACCCTGCACAACTCTAATGCTAATCGAGCCATAAATGGTGACCATGGCTTCAACTCTCAAGGCTCTAATCTGTAGATTTATCTCCCTAACCTTTCAGTTCTTCGACCTCTATTTCCTGCTTTGAGTTACTTTTTTAAAACCAAATTCCTTGAATAAGCTATTCATCCTCTATCCAAAAATGTCTTTAGATGGCTCAGTGTCCAATTTTGTTTGCTAATGCTCCTGTGATATGCATTTTGAATGTTTTACTATTTTCACAGGTACTATATAAATGTAAATTGTTGACCTAATTTTGTGTTTATACTTCTGTAATGGTTTTGAACTCATATTTTCTCTATTTCATTCATTTAGTTTACAGAATGCATGTCAAGGTTGATACATATTCTCTGTGTCAGTTCACTGTTTTATATTCTAAATCAACTGAATGATCAAATTCTAAATTGGCTAAATTTACCTCAGCCCTTTGTCTGAGGCCTGAACTAATTCAGACATCAAAGCGAATAAGCAATCAGGTCTCTACTTAATGAATCTTGGCTTGTTTACTATCCATGCATGACTGAATAGAGCTTTATCCTTTCCTATCTCTCTACGCTATTTTTATGTGGTGTGTATAAAAGTAATGAGGTGCAAAAGAACCAACATGTAACAAGCCTGCGTAATTCCATTTCAGTGGCTCACTCTGCTTGCTCCCACATAAAAAAAAATCCCCAATGAGTTTAAATCAACAGACTTGTGCCCAATAATGACTGATATACAGAATATTTTAAACATTCCTCTGATTGCTTCTTATTTTTTAACTCTGTTGCATCAATGAAGCCTGGTTTCACCACACTGATAGATACACAATTGAACAATTACAAACGTGAGGCCCCTTTCCAACAAACTCACCAACAACATTCGGTCACATCTCCTATCATTGGATGGCATAAATTCTTGTTCTGTTTTTAACACATTCTTAATTAATTATTGCCTAATTGTTACAGTTTGCATTGCATCAATTAAAAGTCCTTAGGTGGATTTATTTCAGCAGACAGTGTCCTTAGCAAGTGTTACTGGAATAGCATCACCACTTTGGAGAAAAGGGCTGAACATAAGTCCTTTATGCAACACAATTCTCAGAATTCAGACTCAGGAATTTTTTAGACCTGAGGGAATACTCACATTTCCTGGAGGAAGATCTACAAACTATTAGAATTCTTTAAAATAAAAGGCAAAATACGGCAGATATTAGAAATCTGAAGCAAAAACAAAAATTTCTGGAAAAACTCAGCAGGTCAAACAGCACCTGTGAAAAGAAACAAAGTTATCAGTTCAGCTCAATGACTTTCATCAGAGCTGATCGCTGATAAAAGGTAATTGACCTGAAACATTAGAATTGCTTTAAAGCTGAAATCATATTTTTCTGGCAAATTAAGTGTTTGAAATGGGAGTTCAAAATGAGAAAAAAATAAACATTACAACTGTATGGAGAATTCTGTTTTAAACCAATGCATAGAAAATATTCCTAATTTTATCTTCACAATAAACATTCTTCAAGTCAGTTGTGATGTATGTTGGATCCCACTATTCCTCACCATTGATCATCATGTTGTGTGAATTAGCTAGGCTCTTGTCACCATGGGATGGATTTGTTGCTACCATCCTTGCTTTCAGTTGGGACCCACAAGGGCCTGCTTTGTCAAGTTTGGTAGAGGAAAGTCACAAATCTAACAAAGGAGGTCCTTGTCTTAAATAAAAGGTATTTTATTGCATGACAGTTGCATGCATGACAAGTTACATTGGTATGATCTGAAGAGACCAACATAAAAGATCTAGCACCTTCAAGACCTGGAACTGTTCCCTTCACCCAATTTCTTATGACATCATCATACTGTGTGGAGTTTAATGAGCTCTCCAGTATTAACCAAACACCTTGTAAAACAATTGTTACAGAGATAGTAGGAACTGCCGATGCTGGAGAATCTAAGATAACAAGGTGTAGAGTTGGATGAGCACAGCAGGCCAAGCAGCATCAGAGGAGCAGGAAGGCTGACGTTTCGGGTCGAGACCCTTCTTCAGAAATGGGGCAGGGGAAGGGGATTCTGAAATAAATAGGGAGAGAGGGGGAGGCGGATAGAAGATGGATAAAGGAGAAGATAGGTGGAGTGGAGACAGACAGGTCAAAGAGGTGGGGTTGGAGCCAGTAAAGGTGAATGTAGGTGGGGAGTTAGGGAGGGGATAGGTCGGTCCAGGGAGGACGGACAGGTTGAGGAGGGGGGATGAGGTTAGTGGTAGGAGATGGGGGTGGGGCTTGAGGTGGGAGGAATGGTTAGGGAGGCAGGGATGAGCTGGGCTGGTTTTGGGACGCAGTCGTTGGAGGGGAGATTTTGAAGCTTGTGAAGTCCACATTGATAGCCTTGGGCTGCAGGGTTCCCAAGCGAAATATGAGGTGCTGTTCCTGCAGCTTTCGGGTGGCATCATTGTGGAAATGCAGGAGGCCCAGGATGGACATGTCGTCCAAAGAGTGGGAGGGGGAGTTGAAATGGTTCGCGACTGGGAGGTGTAGTTGTTTTGTTGCGAACCGAGCGTAGGCGTCCCACAAAGCGGTCCCCAAGCCTCCGCTTGGTTTCCCCGATGTAGAGGAGGCCACAACGGGAACAGTGGATACAGTATACCACATTAGCAAATGTGCAGGTGAAGATCTGCTTGATGTGGAAGATCTTCTTAGGGCCTAGGATGGGGATGAGGGGGGAGGTTGCAGGGAAAAGTGCCGGGGGTGGTGGGGCTGGAGGGGAGTGTAGAGCGGACACGGGAGTCACGGAGAGAGTGGTCCCTCCGGAAAGCAGATAAGGGTGGGGAGGGAAAAATGTCTTTGGTAGTGGGGTCAGATTGCAGATGGCGGAAGTGTCAGAAGACGATGCGTTGGATTCGGAGGTTGGTGGGGTGGTATGCGAGGACGAGGGGGATTCTGTTTTGGTTGTTATTGCGGGGGGGGGGTGAGGGATGAGTTGCGGGAAATGCGAGAGACACGGTCGAGGGCATTTTCGACCATTGCGGAGGGGAAGTTGCGGTCCTTGAAAAACGAGGACATCTGGGATGTCCGGGAGTGGAATGCCTCATCTCGGGAGCAGATACGGCGGAGGCAAAGGAATTGGGAATAGGGGATGGCCTTTTTGCAGGAAGGTGGGTGAGAGGAAGCGTATTCTAGGTAGCTGTGGGAGTCGGTAGGCTTGAAATGGATATCGGTTTCCAGGTGGATGCCAGAGATGGAGACAGAGAGGTCCAGGAAGGAGAGAGAGGTATCAGAGATGGTCCAGGTGAACTTAAGGTTGGGGTGGAAGGTATTAGTGAAGTGGGTGAACTGTTCGAGCTCCTCGTGGGAGCATGAGGCGGCGCCAATACAGTCATCGACGTAACGGAGGAAGAGGTGGGGGATAGGGCCAGTGTAGCTTTGGAAGAGGGATTGTTCCACGTATCCTACAAAGAGGCAGGCATAGCTTGGGCCCATGCGGGTACCCATGGCCACCCCCTTTGTCTGTAAGAAGTGAGAGGAATTGAAAGAGAATTTGTTGAGGGTGAGAATGAGTTCGGCTAAGCGGAGGGGGACTGGTCGGGCCTGCGGGACAGGAAGAAGCGGAGGGCCTTTAGGCCATCTGCATGGGGAATGCAGGTGTATAGGGACTGGATGTCCATGGTAAAGATGAGGTGTTGGGGACCAGGGAATTGGAAGTTTTGGAGGAGGTGGAGGTTGTGGGTGGTGTCATGGACATAGGTAGGGAGTTCCTAGACCAAGGGGGAGAAAATGGAGTCGAGATAGGTGGAGATGAGATAGGTGGAGATAAGTTCGGTGGGGCAGGAGCAGGCGGAGACAATGGGTCCACCAGGGCAGTCAGGTTTGTGGATTTTGGGAAGGAGATAGAAACAGGCGGTGCGGGGTTGGGGAATGATGAGGTTAGAGGCTGTGGGTGGGAGGTCACCAGAAGTGATGAGGTTGTGGATGGTTGGGAGATGACGGTTTGGTGGTCGGGGGGTGGG